TATATGTAGTTTTAGTTTCCTTTTTTTTGTTGTACTTGTTTTTTATATTTTCCAAAGTTTCTACAGTGGTTGGAAATCTCATTCTACCATCATATAAAAATGTCTTTTAAAAGCATTTACAGAGAAGAATACAATCAATCAAGTTCTTTAAAAAAATTTTTTTTTAGTTAGCTCTATTGCTCAGATGCATGGCTTAACCAGCATCACTTTCTCTTTCTCTTTTTCTCTCTGCTTCTTTCTCATAGCTAATAATAAAAATAGATAACCGCATAGTGGACATTTTCCCATGTACATCCCAGGCACTATGCCCAGCATTTGACAATGCATACCTTTTCTTGGACCTGGGATGTAACTCAGTGGCTCTGTGCCACACCTGCCTAGCAAGCGCAAGGTCCTGAGTTCGATTCCCAGTACCAGAAAAAATAATGTAAAGCATATTTATTCTTAAGGAATAGTACGATTGTCAACCTTGTTGTAAAGATGAGAAGACTGAGATTTAGAAACTTAAACTGTGATCCTATTAGTCCCAAATCCTGGTTCCTAATCACTGCTCTTTCTTTTTCCATCTCTCCCACCTTTCAAAAATTACCAGTAAGGTATCTCTGTCAGTTCTGGATTGTAACCCAAAATTTCTCACCTTCATCATGATTTACATTTTGGACCAAGTCATTCTCTGTTGTGGGGGGTGAGGGGCAGTGCACTGTAGGGTGTTTAACCTTATCCATGGGCTCCACCCATGAGAGGACAGCAGCACCCCGCACCCCAAGCACCCAGATGAAATAACCAAAGACCTAGTAAATAATACCTCAGTTCTCGAAAGCTTCTGTTTGCAAACAAATCGGTTCACGAACAGAAATGTTCAGCAAAAGTTTGCCTCCGCTCACAAACTCCTCGTCAGAGACGAACACGACTGCGGCCATCATCCTCTGAGCGCCGCCATCTTCCCGCTCTGACGTGTGGGCGTGGCTTCCTCTAGTTCCGATCACAGGCGCAGACAGACCTGGGCGCCCTTGCTGGGAAGCGTTTTTGTGTGCTTTTTAGCTCATACAGTACTGCACAGTTAATGGTGGTCAAGCCAGCATAGCTCCAGAGAAAGTACGGAGTGAGCATGGCGGTAAAAAGAAAGCACAGAGTGGTAATGAAGGTGACAGGAATGCAGAGTAAGAATGATGCGAAGGTTTTGAAGAAAATAACCACTGAATTGAAGAAGGAAATTGTAGAAAATTATGAGCATGGTATTCACGTGACTGATCTGGACTCAGAGTACTAGATGGCGAAGTCTAAAATCTTGACTTCTTTACCAGTTCTGACAAGGCCGCTGCAGAAGTCTGCAAGAAAGAATTCATGGAGTTCATGAAAGCAGAAAGATACATCGGTCAGCAAGGGTTCAACCATGCTGAAAAAGGGCTCTTCTGGAAGAGGATGATGAACAGAACCTATATCAGGGAAGAGGAAAAGGCACTGCTGGAGGAACACAAGCCCATAAAAGACAGATTGACCCTTTTGCTGTGCCTGAAGCACCACATTCCCAGACCCCTCGCGAACTCCAGGAATAGCATGTGAACAAGGCCAGACTGCCTGTCATGTGGGGGGTGTCAGTGTGAAAGCTTGGGTCACAAGGCAATTGTAAATAAAATGGCTGCCATTAGGAAATATCTTTCTGTGATCCCCGGCACCAAAAAAAGAGAAATATCTGACAACCAATTGCCTGAAAGGTGCCTTCTTCTGTTGGACAATGCCTGGCACACTTTCCAGCCTTAGTGGATGATATGGATGCTGACTATAACTTTATAAAGGTCTAGTTCCTCCCCAAAACACAACACCTCTTCTGCAGCCCATGGACCAGCAAGTGGCCTGCAACTTCAATGAGCTGTACACACAGGCGCTCTTTACCAAGTGTTTGGGTTTTTTTTGTTTTTGTTTTTTTGAGACAGGGTCTCACTATGTAGTTGAGACTGACCTGGAACTCATTGTTTAGACCAGACTGGTCTCGAACTCACAGCGATCCTCCTGCCTCAGCCTCCCGAGTGCTGGGATTACAGGCATGCGCTACCACGTCCAGCGTTTACCAGGTGTTTTGATGTCAGCTGAAGAAACACCTTGGACTCTGAAAGAGATCTGTAAGAAACACGTCAGTGTCCTCCTCTGCATCAGCCTCATTGACAAAGCCTAAAAAGGAGTCACCTACCAGCCCTTAAACTTCGTGGGGAGGAAACTGTGGCCAGAATGTGTCACTGAGGTGACTTTGAAGAGATGAGGCACAGGCAATGGAGGAGACTGTGCCCATGGGCAGGAGTGTGGGTCCCTGATGGTGCAGACAAAGAGGAGCTTGTTGAGAACCAGAAGGAGGAGCTGGTGACAGAGGAACTTGCTGAACTCCAGAGTGAGCAGCAGGAGGCGCCTTCCACCGAGGAAGAGAGGAGGTTAGCAGTGATGTGGCTGTGGAAAATAGAATGAGTGCTGGGATTTCTTTGAGAAGCACCCCTGCAACATAACTGTAATGAGCAGAGTGTTGAATGTGATGAACCATTAAGAAGTCTCTCATTTCTGGAGGGTCGTGCAGCGCAGGAAAAAACAAGCGACATTAGACAGATTTTTTTTTTTTAAATCAAAATTGACTCTGCAGCTGAGAGACAAAGAAGAGAGAAAACCCCTGAAAAAGATCTTCCCCATGTCCTCAGGGACCAAAACCGCCCCCAGATGTCTGCCATAGTTGTGGAAAAGGATTCTGGAGGTCCTCCAGTTGAATGACTGCTAACAGCCAGCAAGAATGGTCCTTGTCCTTCTGGCAAGCTCAGACTCATTCCAGGGCAGGGCATGAAAAGTGCTCCACATGCCTCTGGCAACAAGAGATGCAGGCAGGAGCCAGCATTGCTGCCTCTTGTTCCGAAAGCTGGGATGCTGGGATTGGAATGGATGTGGGTACTTCCAGATCAGCAAAGGGCAGGCAGGGGTCAGGCTCTTGGGGGAAGATGCTGCAGGATCACCTGCTTCAGTCTTCTTCATAGCACCCAGAGCACAGCCAGTCTTCCGTATCCAAGGGTTCCACAGCCCTAGGTTCAGCCAGATTGCAAATGCTCAGGAAAAACAAACAAACTGTGTCTGTGCTGAACATGTACAGACTTTTACCTGTTAGTACTTCCTAAAGGAGAACTATCTATGTAACATTTACAGAGGATGTAGGTAGGTCGTACACAAATACTAAGCCTTTTACATAAGGGACTCCAGCATCCTCAGACTGGTATCTGCAGAGGCCTGGGAACCAATCCCCATGGAGACTGAGAGATGAATGTACTATGTGTGCATGCATCTTTTCGGTTGGCTTTGAAAGTGGCAGCTTCATGAGGTCCTGGTCGCTGATGCATCCCCAGAGCCTAGGCCAGTGGTCAGTATAGCAGATGCTCAATGAAGACACGCAGAGGGACGTACACTCTGAGGGAAAGTGATGTGAGAGTATGTCTCAGCAGTCCTAAGCCAACATGAAGAAAAATGCTTAAATGAATTAACAAAATCAGACAAAAAATGTACCCAAAATCAGACAAAGGACCAGAAAAGCCCACCTAGGTATTTAAAATGAGAACTTAGTGAACACAGCTGTGTAAATCTAGTCGGTGAAGCCATCATAAAATATTGTTTCTAGGGCCCAGGATTTAGCTCAGTGGTTCCGCCACCTGTCTTGCAAATGCAAGGTGCAAGTTCAATCCCTGGTACCAAAAACAAACAAATAAATATTGTTTCTATAAGATGAGTCAATTTTTACAACACACACACACACACACACACACACACAAAAAAAAAATCTGTGATGCTGAGTGCAAAATTGTATGTTTAGCCCAGTTACTAAGATTACAGGAGCAAGCGCCCTCCACCGCCCTGCATTTCTAGGAATTTATCATAGAATTGCATCAACTAAAAACTCAGATGTCTATGCACACGAGACTAGTTAAAGAAATTATACCCACAAATAAATTTAAAACTATATGTCCATTAAAAATGAGTAGGTTTGCATATATTGACTGCATGCTCCAAATTATTAAATTTAAAAATTCAATTGTAAAATATATACAGTAATAATGATGTTATATATGATGGCATAAGCATTTTTTTTTTAATTTGGAGGACTTCACATCAAACTGTTAACAATGGTTTTTTTCTAAAGGAAGACTTTGTGTTTTGAATTTCTTCAATGCTTACATGTTTTTTACACAAACTGATTTTTTAAAAACCTGACTGAAAATAGCTTGCTCATATAAGCCAGGATAAACCAGACACATAAACTTAGAAAAAACTCTATGAAGGTATTTTTAACAGTAATGGATTGTTTCTGAGTAGTGGAATAATGGGGCAGTTTTTGGATCCTCCTTATGAGCATAAATTTATACAGTGAATATGTGTATTACTCAGGGTTCTCCACAGAGACAAAGCCATTAGGACATAAGGCAGAGAATTAGCTCACACGGTCAGAGGTTGGGGAGTCCCTTGACAGGCTATCTGAAAGCTGGAGAACCAGAGAGCTGGTAGAGTGGCTTGATTCCAGTCCAGAAGCCTCAGAATCATGGAGATCGATGATGCAGCCCCGAGGAACCATTCCAAAGGGTGCAGTTCTGAAGCCGGAGGGCAGAAGGGTATCTGGCTCCCAGAGAGGGGTAGGGTTGGGGAGAAGAGAGGGAGAAAAACACAGAGGTGAGGAGAAAACACATCACCCCTTATTTCTTCCTTTTCATTTTCCATCTGGCCCTCAGCCCACTGGTCAGTACCCACCCACATGGAAAGAGGGTCTTCTCCACTTTCTCCACTGCCTTGCAGGCCAGGCTCCCCTGGAAACACCCTCACAGACATTTCCAGAAACACTGCTACTCCGGCTGTGTAGGTAACCCTCAGTGCAGTCCAGAGATGCCCAAATCAACCATCGCAGCCTGCATAGCCAGCACGGGGGCTGATCCACGCCCACAAGCCTTCTTTGTCCAAATCTACTGTTGCATGACATTCTGTTTCCCCAGGATGGACGACATCCAGCTCTGCAAGGACATCATGGACTTGAAGCAGGAGCTGCAGAACTTGGTCGCCATCCCAGGTAACTGTGCAGAGCTTCATCTGGTCTTAGCAGCTTCTCAGGGACCCCAGCCCCCTATCTGTGTCCCTGGGGTCAGAAGACAAAGTTCATGTCTTCTAGCATGGCTCATTCTTTCAGTGCAGTGCTCCCTGGCCACATGATTCAAATACACATGGTTTAATTTGGGCAGACTTGTGTTTAAGTGCTAATTATGGCCACCTTTTTGGCCTTGGGCAATTCACTTTTCCTCTCTGAGACAATTTCTCCTCCTCAGACACGTGAGGTAATAATAGTAATAGTACCTAACTCACTGGGTACAGATAGTATTGTGATAAATGTAAATAAATATAAATGGTAAATAAATTGCCAGCCAGATGCTTAGCTTGATAGTTGGCCCAAAGAGTCCAATAAATATTAGCAATTATTATCATTATTATCTTGATTGAGAATGGGTAAAGTATACTGGTTATGAGCACTAACTTAGGAGTAAAACCTACACTTGCTATTTATTATTATTATTATTTGAAACACTGAGCCTCAAACCCAGGGCCTATGCGTGTTAAGTCAGGGCTCATGCATACTAGACAAAGACTCAAGCACTGAGTCACTCCTCCCCGATCCCTGTATTTGCTAGTTATTTGGCTTTGTCTCAGTCACTTTCTCACCGCTGAAACACAATACCTGTCACCACACCTTAAAGGAGGAGGGAGCATTTGGTGGGACAAAGCAGCTGGGAACCAGGAAGAATGAGAGAAAGAGGGGCGGGAGATAAAATGTACTCTTCAAAGGCTCATCCCCAGTGACTTACTTCCTCCACCTAAGCCCCACCTCCTGAAGCTCCTGCCACCTCCCAACAGCCCATTAAACTATGAATTTATCAATGGGTCAGAGTCTTCAGGATCCAGTCACCTCCCAAAGGCCCCACCTCTGAATGCTGCTGCTCCACGGACCCAGTCTTTAACATGTGAGTCCTTGGGGGACTTTGGGGGTCCAAATGGTAGTGTCTTATATCCCTTATGGTTAAAATGTGACCAGTAATGTGATCCTCATGAGGTTGCTGTGACGTCCCACGGTGTGAACACAGTGGATAGGTGCCCAAAGCCATCCGGCTGTACAGACAGGTGTGCACCACGGAGCAGGCACAGGTGCTATTGCTTTATGGACGTACAGGTGCCAGGAACTCTACAGGCTCTGGGAATAAACGAATGAACGACTGTTCTAAGTGAAAGGAGGTGACGACCAGCGGAGACAGGCTTTCTTCGGGGGATGATTAGAATGTTCTGAGATGGAGAGTGTGGCTTCACTGCAGAGTGTTTGCCTAGCATGTGTGAGACCTTGGATTTGATCCCTAGTACCACACACACACACACACACACACACACACACACAGTTCTAAAAGGGATTGTGGCAGTGGTTGTACAACTCTGAGTATACACTAGGAACAGGTGAATTGCATGGTGTGAATTATTTTAATAAAGTCATCCCCCTCCAAAAAAGTTAAATGTCAAATATAAAACAATAAATGAACGAGGAAAAAAATTAAATTCAGACACCATCTACTAGGATTGGTCAGGTGAGGAACTTTGGCACTCTAAGTTTTAAAAGCTTTCCTAAAGTTGGGCATGGTTGTGCATACCTATAATCCCAGCTACTGAGAAGAGTGAGCTAGGAGGTCCAGCCCATCTCAAGAAAATAAAAATAAATAGGGCCGGGGTTGTAGCTCAGTGGCACCCATGCTTGCCTGGCAAGTGCAAGGTCCTGAGTTCAATCCCCAGGACTGGAAAATAAACAGATAAACAAATAAAAGCTTCCCAAACGACCATGATGAGCAGTCAGGTGTGACAGCGCACTCTCGTTTTAGACTCCTTCCAGGAAGAGTTTGCTCGAAAGATCCAGAAACCGAGCCAAGCTCATATGTGCACCAAATGGGCAGTTACTAGAAGGACAGAGAAGTCTTCCAGAACCCTCGGACAGTGTTTGTTCCCCGTGGCTCTCATAACAAACTTCTGCCGCTTAACACCCCAGAAATGTATCTCTCACAGCTCTGGAGCAGCTGGCAGGCTGTGCTGTCTCTGAGGCTCTAGAGGAGAATCCTCCCTCACCTCTTCCTACCTCTGGTGGCTGCCGTCAGTTCTTTGCGCGTGGCTGCCCCACACCAGGCTCTCCCTCTGTCTTCACATGGCCTCCTCTCTGTGTCCCTGTGTGTCATCCTCCTCTTCTTTTAGGGACTCCCATCATCGGGCTGGGGCTGGCTCTAATGAGTCTCACTTAATTTTAGCTGAATGAAATACATCTGCTGCATAATTTCCACATTACTTCAGAAATAGGCTATTTCTGAACAGGGTGGACATGAACTTTTAAGAGGAAATAGCATTTCTAGTCAGAGTAGATGTGACTCTGGTGGTGGTGAGGTAATATTCAGCTACTGCGGGCTTGAAGCTCAGGCCAGTCTCACAAGGGCCTGAGATAAAAATGAGAAAATAATGGAATGGTCCTTGCTGCTCACCCCCATTTTGGGAAGCTCTAAAAGGGAAGACCACTTACCTTCCCTTTCATGGTTTCCCTAAGCAATAAGCAATTCTCAGGGCCTCTGTGCTCTAATTCCCACTTCCCAGGAGACACTGATGGGTCTGGCATGGGCCAGTATAACCTCTCTGATTTGTTTCTTGGTTTTGTTTTTGAGACAGGGACTCACTTTATAGTCCAGGCTGGCCTCAAAGTCATGGTGATCCTCCTGCCTCAGCCTCCCGTGTGCTAGGATTACAGGTGTGCGCCAGCATGCCCAGCACTACGACCTTTCTGGATGGAGGCTTCTCAGGGCCCACTGTTGGCTCAGAGGGGACATGGGGGATCGGTGAGGCACAGGAAACCTGAGTGTATGGCCATGAAGTTCCCAAGGACCTGCAGGCCAAAGGGCTCCACTTGAGGCAGTGGCAGCCTATAGAGCATGTGTGGAAATAGGTGGTTGAATGCACCGATTGAGGTGTACGGCTGTTGAGGGGCAAATTTAGGATAAGGAGGACAAGGCACTTAAGAGGAGCCCCCAAAATTCACTAATTGGGATTATTTTGGTGGTAATGCGGGCCAAGGGAAGTATTGTACTACTAGCCAAGTGCTCTACCATTGACCTACAGTCCCAATCCTCTTTTAATATATTTTTTCAGTACTAGGGACTAAACCTAGGACCTTCACACTGAGCTGCATCCCAAGGCTTTTTTTTTTTTTTTTTTTTGAGACAGGGTCTCACTATGTAGTTGAGACTGAACTGGAACTCACTATGTAGCCCAGGCTGGTCTCGAACTCACAGTGATCCTCCTGCCTCAGCCTCCCGAGTGCTGGGATTACAGGTGTGAGCCACCACGCCCGACTCCAAGGCTATTTAAAATTTTGAGACAAGGTGAGTTGCCCAGGCTGAGCTCAAACTTGCTATCCTTCTGCCTCAGCCTCTCAGAGTACAGCCGCGTATCACCTCCATCACCACCACCACCACACCCAACCCTTTGCATTTTTTATTTGCGACAATCCTGCTAATTGCCCAAGCTGGCCTAAAACTTGTGGTCCTCCTGCCTCGGCCCCTCCCTGCTCCGAGTAACTGGGATTACAGGCATGTGGTACCACATCAGATGGAATAAACAACCTTTAATGCACTAGAAAATAATAAAAATGTGTGATAGCAATCTCTGAAAAGCACAGTGCCAAAACATAAATACAGACAGGTTCAGTACTGATGCTCCACAGCAGGGGTCAGGGCCGTCACAGCTGCAGGCGGAGGCTCTCAGTCCCACCCAATGGATGCCGCAGACTGAGAACGTGACTCAAACTACACTAGGGTTAGACAGCAACGGAGCCCAGGTGCTTAATGCCAGTCCTGCTGATTCTCCTGCAGGCCGCTTCCTCCCATCACCTCCACGGAGGAATTCAGATCTGGAAGTCCTGGCAGACTCCCCCCACTCCATCCTTCTTGCTGGGTGTCCTTGTCTGTCTTCCCTGTACCAGCACCAGGTTTCCAGATGCAAGTAGTCAAGTTCAGGGGAAGAAAAGCCTATGAATATTTCTTGCAACACATCAATAATAGAAGTACTAAGTACAGAGGACAGTGAGCTGCTGAGAAAACCACATTTCTTGAGCCAGGGTCAGAGAAGAATTCACCATGCCTTGATAGAGATTGGTGACTGAGGATGGAGAACACCCGGGGCCCTTCCAGCTGGAGGGCTTCTCAAGGTCCGGCTGGGATGTCTCACACCACCCCCACTGCTCTCACCACCTCCGGACAGCTGGGGATGCTTAGGGGAGGCTGTGAAGGCCACAGGTGCCTTCCCCTTGGATCTAAAACTTATGTCCTTTCATAGGGTTCAGGGGAAAGATTAAACCAGTGGTTTTCAAACAGGGGCAGTTTTGATCTCTGGGGAGTATCTGGCATTGTCTGGAGACACAGTTAGGCGTCACAGCTTTTAGAGGGGGAGCTTTTAGAGGGGGAGCTAAAAGCACCCAGTGGCTGCAGGCCAGGCATCCTGCTGTGCCCAGCACAGCCCTGCAACAGACAAGCAGCCCCATTCTGCCCCGTGCTAATTGTGCAGAAACTGAGGAGCCCAGGTTAAAAGACTGTAAAGCTCATGACATAATGACTGTCACTACAACGGCTTCAATTTATTAAGCTCTTACCTGTGTGTGCACTTTATGAGATCTGCTCTTCCTCCATTAAATAAGTATTTATTTCTTTTATACCTGGTTCAGTAAATATTTAATCTGGAGGGCATAAATCATTAAAGCACAATGACAACATAAACTAAGAGTCTGAGCTGAGGTGATGGCTCAGCTTTCCTAGCATGGGTCAGGCCCTGGATTTAATCCCCAGCACCACCAACAAAGAAAATAAAATAATTCCGTATCATAATGGCAGCTAACTTTTCATAAGCCTTTACTATGCACCAGGTATTTCACTTGATTTGTTTCTCCTGAAATGTGCAATAACTTTATGTTTATCTGTGTTGAGAGACTGGATACTCCAAGTGGTTGAGGAATGTGCCCAAAGTTGCACAGCTAGAACGAGTGGGGAAGTTGGGGCCTCAGGCCAGGACTGTCTAGATCTACAGTGAGAGTCTCAGTTGTGATGGGAGGTATGGACCAGGGAGACCAGATCGGAAGTCACAGCATGGTCCTGGGGGAATGGTGGCAGCCTGGCTTAGGAGATAAGTGGAGGAGGTAAGAAGCATGTGGCAGGGTCACAATGTGAGGACCAAGTTTCCAGGTCACGGTGGGCTCCATGCCCCTTACCCAGAATAGAGTAAATGCAAAAGTTCCTTTCTGAAAAATTCCATTCTATGTGGCAGTTTCTCTGTGCTTTGACAATTGCAGTTCCTCTTTTAGGGCATCTCCACCCTGCTTCTATTTCTCTTTTTAAGACAAGCTTCTTTTTGGGTGATCTAATCAATATAGGAATTAGTTATAGTTGATATAGGAATTAATTATAGTGGACATAGATAGTCATATGTCTTAGCAAAAGTCAGAAAAGAGGAATTAGTTGTTTAATGAAAAGAGGAATTAATTCTCTAAAGGCCTTAGGTAAGTTTCCAATACGTACCCTCCCAGCACCCCATAATAAATTTGCACATGTAAGCATTAGGTCATGTTCCAATGTTTCCTCCCGATGCCCCTTGATGATAAGGGAAAACTAAAAATAGTAACAGAAAAATCCTATATAAACTTGGTTCAAAGTTGGATCTGGGCTCTCAGTCTGAAGCCGCTGTGATGGTGACACCTGAGAGTCCAAGCTCGAGCTTGCAATAAACTCCTCTTGCAATTGCATCGGACATGACTCCTTGGTGGTCTTTGGGGACTTCGCGACTTGGGCACAACAACATGGCCAGCCTGTGGAGGCATGAGGAAGCAGGATATGTGATGCCGGAAGAGAGTGAAGTTGGCAAGCTAGAGTTCTCATGGGCAAGTAGGTGAGTGAGTGATGGCGGTAAAATGAAAGGGTCGGTTAAGCAGGAGGATGGTGCCTGGATGAAGGTGGGGGTGTTGCTAGGAAAGGTATGTGACACAGGCAGGTGAGGAGCATTGGCCACTGACTCGGAGACTTGTATCTGCCACTTTCTCGTCGATGTGACAAAGTACTTGACACCCACAACTTGAGGAGAGAGGCTTATATTGGCTCACAGTTTCCAGTGGGCTCCATCCAAAGTCAGCTGGAGGTGGAGCCTGGTTGGAAGAGGTGGCTCACTGGGGCCGTGATGTGGAAGGGTGTATCTCCCTCCTGTGGTTCTTTGCTTCCTAGTTGCCATGATGTGAGCAGATTTTCACGCATCAAACCCCTCTGCCGTGCCATGGAGCTGACCGACCATGGGACAAATCCATCGAAACTGTGAGCCAAAATAATCCTTTTGTCTCAGTGATGAGGAAAGTACTAAGACACCCAGCGAGTGAAAAACACAGCCAAGATTCCAACCCTAAACCACTGGGCTCACGAGCTTCAAATATTTACCTTCAACCATTTCTTTACTGATGTTTTCTTCTTCCCAGAGAAAGAAAAAACCAAGTTGCAGAAGCAGAGAGAGGACGAACTAATCCAGAAGATCCACAAATTGGTACAGAAGAGAGATTTTCTTGTGGATGATGCCGAGGTGGAGCGGTTGAGGTGAGAGGGATGCATGAGGCAGCCTGACCCAACCCTGCCACTAACGCATGACCTGCTCTGAGGACTCACAGCCTTATCTGACCAGGATGGTCTCTGCCATTGCTTCCCAGACACTGAACCCAAAAGAATCCCACCCTTCTGGTCTGAAGACTGATTTCATATACTCGAGAGAAATGTCAACTTGGTCCCCAAAGTCTGGCAAAGGCCTGTGTGACTCAGGTGATGTCATTCAAAGAGGTGACCAGGGAGGAACTGCACATGGCAGAGCTCCCTACACATCCTTCCAACTCATAAGGCAATTTCTCCAAACCTCGCCTGTCTCTACCAAAACTATGAATTGCTTGCTTTTCCTGTCATCTCAAATTACCTGCTTTGTCCTTTTCTTTACCTTCTCTCAGGGGCTCTAATACTTTTGCTACCTACATGTACCTTTCGACTTCACTTGCAGAACCATGAACTCTGGAGCCACAGTGCAGTTCCCAAGGAAACTGGGCATGGGAAAAGCTGTTCATGTTCATTCCTGAATATTTTTGTCCTAGAACAAAGCCTTTGCTGTCTCTCTCCTTGTGGAGCCAACTTCTTTAGTCTTGGGTCCTTTGAAGTCCCTCTCTGCAGCCACCTAGGCTGTGCCTTGCCTAACTCAGCTCAGTTGGCCCACTTATTTTATTTTTTGTGACTTTGAAGAGCTGAGTCACTTGCTTTCTGAGATTGGCCACAAACCTTGCGGAAACAGATGACCAGAGTGGCTTGAAAGTACAGGGCTGGAGTGGTATTGCCCAGATCAATGATCCAGCAGGGAAGCTGGGTCCTATAATGTCCCTCTTTCTGTCCTGGGGTCTTATCCTAGCCCTGGGTCACCATGTACCCCATTGTTGATATTCAGAGCAGGTTCATTAAACATAGTATCACACACCACATACACATAGCACACAACAACATATATGCACCATTCACAAAGACCAACATCTGGTCCCCACACTCTACTTTTCACCTCATTTTTTTTTTTTTTTTTTTTAGTTCCTTGATGTTTTGCTTGCTTACTGTCTTCTCTCTTCCATATCTGCCTTCCCAGGGAGCAAGAAGAAGATAAGGAAATGGCTGATTTCCTGAGAATCAAGTTAAAACCTCTAGACAAAGTAACCAAATCTCCAGCCAGTGAGTGCATGCATTGTTCCTCCTCCTCCCTCCCAAAAGAAAAAAGGATATTTCAAAGCAATAGCCCAGAGGTGCATGACAGAACGCTTTTTAGAGATTAGACTTGAGCATGGGATGGCAGAAGATAGCGTCAGCTTCATGGGCCTGCAGCTTGTATGGCTCCCCAGCCCCATGCCAAGAAGGGCTCAGAGCTGAACTTCTGCTATTGCCGTCTTGCAAACCTTAATATTTTTGGAACAAGGGGCCTTGTATTTTTATTTGGCTTTGAACTCCAAAATCCATGTAGCTGGTCCTGGAAGCAGCTGGCCCTCCCTAATCACATAATTTGATGAATTTCACAAAAGGAACTGGGTGGCCACTTTAGGGCTGGAATATCTGGAAGAAATAGCAGCACATTTTTCAAAATATTAGCCTTAAAAAAATTAGTCTTACAAGGTACTTAGAGCAAAAGGGGTTCTATGTAAAATAAGTTTGAGAAACTCTGCACACTTGAGCCTCTATTTGGAGGCCCCAGGGTCCCTTATGATATTAAAGTGATAATGGATCCTACTGTCAACGAGCTTTCTTCTCTCCATTGACTCACTATTTCTCAGATGTGTCTAACACTCAGCCGGGGATTTAGCTCAGTGGTTCTGCCACCTGCCTCAAATGTGTCTAACTGCTGTATTAGGGAGGCTTCTTTCAGTCATAAGAAATGGATGCCCAATTCAATCTGGTCTAAGCACAAAAGGAGTTTTGCTGGAGGAAGAGCCATAAGAACGAGGGCTACAGGGACTGAACACTCTTAGAATTCCCTCATTTCCCTTCCATTTCTGATGTTTACCCTTCTTTGCAGGTCAGTGTCATTTCCCCCTATACACAGGCCTTTTCCATGGGCCTGAATCCCAGAACCATAGCTTGGTAGCTCCAAGGCAGTGCCAGATTCTTTCTCTGGGTATCTAAGTACATAAGTCTCAGGGGATGACTCAGATTGGTCCTTCTTGGCTCAGGTTGCCACCCCTTCGGCCTATCACTGTCACCAGAGGCTGGAGTGCTCTGATTGGTCAGGTCTGTCACATGCCCTTTCCTTGATCCACAGAGACATGGGCTGTTACCAGAGGAAGAGGGACTAGAAATCTTGCTGGGAAAACAAAACTTGAAAAGTGAACACTAAATAACCATAAATGTCGTTTACTATGCTGTCCATTGGCATCCCATGAAAACAGTTGTAGAGTTCAAGAGTAAAGAAAGAAAAAAGTGTGCTCCCTTCTGCTGGTTCCTAAAACCACAAGGCACAGGATCCCTGCCTAAAGCCAATGACCTCAATAGATTCTCTCTTCCATGAAAGGCAAAGTAGAAAAACCCCACCTGGCAGCTCAGAGGGGCAAGGAAACTTGCCTTCTATGTGGGATTATAGATAGAAAAGAGCAACAATTCTGGCAAGAAATCAAAACACCAAGCCTGCAGTACAATTAAGGGGCCAAGTATATGCCCCAAATTTACACTATTCATTTGGAGCTGGAATCCCAAGTTGAAAAATAAAAACTAGATGAAAGCCAGTGAAATCTCTGGGACCCTAGCAGGAGAAATGCAGAACTGCCCATTAGGGACCTTTCTGCAGCCCATAGTACCTAGCACTCCCATAGGTAAAGCAACTCCTCAAAAAAATGAGCTCTCAATAAAATTAAAAAACCCACGAAAAATTTTACTACCATGAGGAGAATCAGTAATGCAACAAAGACGATGACCTTCCAAGAATCAGACACAACAAAACTATTTTTTAAATTTTTAAATTTTTAATTTTTTGTTTTTTTGAGAGAGGGTCTCACTATGTAGTTGAGACTGCCCTGGAACTCTGTAGCCCAGGCTGGTCTCCAACTCACAGAGATCCTCCTGCCTCAGCTTTCCAAGTGCTGGGATTACAGGCGCTACCACGCCCGACTCACAACAAAACTATTTTGAAGAGACAATAAATGAAATATCATTAAGGATAAGATAAGGAATAAAACCATAGTGAAATAGCAGGATGCTGTGAAAAAAGAATAAGTACATTGAAGGAGTGGCTCTTTGGCAAAGTGCTTGCCTAGCATGCACGAGGCCCTGGATTCCATTATTGGCAAGACAAAAATATAAATAAATAAGATAGGCAAGCAAATAAATCAACTGCTGCAAGCTGTGTTCTCTCTAAAAACAAAGAATAAGGAGACTTGTTTAAAAAATCAGCCTTCCCAGAGTTGAAAGATGTGAACCCTCAGAGTGAAGTGACCTGAAAAAAAGTTCTCATTTTGTCCGCTCACCAAATACCTCTTGAATGGCAGGTCCTGCACAGGGCTTGGGAGATAACAGCGGTTAGGACTGCTGAGTGGGAGAAGGGCTGAAAGCTCTGACAAGAGGCCGAGAACAAGAGGCCCACAGGAAGTGGAAACAGTCACTGGATCATCTAAAATGCACACTCACAACAGGGCCTGGCCAAGGAGTCAGGGTGGGGTTGCGGCTGCCCACCTGGGGTTCTGCTCCCCTCCCATCTCCCTCTTCCTTGTGTTCTCCCTTGCTGCAGGCTCCCGGGCAGAGAAGAAAGCAGAGCCCCCACCTAGCAAGCCCACGGTGGCCAAGACAGGGCTGGCACTCATCAAGGATTGCTGCGGAGCCACCCAGTGCAACATCATGTAGCCCCCACATGGGGTACCCCCGGGGCTGCGGGGATCCCCTCCCACCCTCTTGTCATCAGAGCCCCCACTTCACCGGGGCTCAAGAACTCTTCAAGGCAGAAGGGGTTAAAGGCAAGCCTGTGACTGCCACCAGGGGCCATGGCCGTGGCAGGCGGGCCCAGCCACCCTGTACAGAGTGTAGCAATAGGAGTCCCTCACTGTCGCATGGCCCTCCCCAGAGCATGCCGAACCCAGGAGTCTGTCTCACCATTTATCCAACCACCAGGAAAAGTCCTCCCTCACGAAAGTATATCCCCACTTCTCTCTAGCTGTATCTAACCCACCATGCCGAATGAACTGGGAGAGGGGCGTGATCCCCAGGTGTGTATAGTTCTGACTTCTCAACAATCCAGCACCACGTTGGACATATCCCGCATCCACCTTCCTAGCTCTGCCATCCGGCCTGGCCCAAAAGGGCACAAGTCCCCGCCCTCGTCCGTCCTCTCCCAGGGAGAGTGCTCTGGATGGCTCCACCCGGCCCATGCGTCTCTCAGGTGCCATGAGTATCGCCTTCTTGGAGACCGATGGCCGGCCTGTAAACACTGAGCTAGGGTGTGCTGTTGTACTCACATCTCCTGCTTCCTCCCACCCCATGTCTGGGCCTGATTCACATCAGGAGGGGTCCGCTATGCTCTTGGCTGAGAGTTGCAGTCTCCCACACTGAGGTCAACGAGGATGAGAAGGAGACCTGGAGACCAGCAGATGCTGACTCAGGTACTCTTCACCCACCGGGGGCCGCTGCAGGAGCGCTAGCAGGATGCGCCCCACCGGCCGGACACAAGACCTCCGTGAAGAACAGGCAGGAGAGGCAGCCTGACCCAACCGTGTCCCGTCATGTGGTGGTGTATTTGAACCAGCCTAATAACCCCGCCTGTGTAGCTTGATGTACATTTGCTACAGCCAGCCCGGCACAGCCTGTGTGACCTCTTTACGTGTATGTGTGTCGTGCCCGGCCTAAGTAGTTAGCGTAACTCAAGACTCACTGATGTGCAATCATCCATCAGAGAAAATAAAAGTGGAAACCACGTACGCATTTTAATAGTTTTTACTTTTCTTCTTGATTATAGAAGTAAATCATGTACATAGTAAATAATTTTAAAAGTATACAAAGCATAAAGAAGTTGTTTTTTTTTTTTAAATACCCACGAGTCCTCTAGAGACCTCTGATTTTTTGGCATGTTTCCTTGAAGTATTTTTTATGCATTTTGTTTTTCCTGCTTGACATCATATTGTACCATTTTATAACAAAAATTTCCCCCCACTTATCACTAGATCACTATGATTTCCTTGCATCACTAAAAGCTCTTTGTAAACATTAAACACTCTTTGCAAATGTTCAGAATGGCTGCTTAGTAATCCATCTTGTGATTATACCTGTCACTCATCACCATTTCTTCATTACTGGGCTCACACTTAGAAAGTGTCCTGTTTTCAGTATTGTAATAATGTTATGATAAATGCCTTCAGGAGATAAAACTTCATCTTAAATTCTTATTTTTCCTTAAGATAAACTCTTTCCTTTTTTTCTTTTCAGCGCTTGGGATTCATCCAGGGCCTTAGATGTTAGGCAAGTGCTCTACCACTGAGCGACATCCCCAGTCCAAAATAAACTCTTAGAAGTAACACTCTGGGGCCATCAATGAGAAGCAATTTTCAAAATATTTCTAGATCACAAGTGTATGCACAGGTGTCTCCATGCACAGCAGCTTTGGAGCTGACCCCAAGTATGTTGGACTAGGGGCCCCAGTCTTCAGATTGACGGCCCCTCCCAGGGGACAGCATGCCTCAGCCTCCACTCTTGTCTCAGATGTATTTCTGTTCAGCCCAGGCTTTGTCCCCACACTGCTTCCTGCCATTCGGATGCTGAAGAGGCTTCCCAGCCTAGTCAAGCAAGGGACACCCTGACCTCCTCCTGTACCTAGACAAGCATGGAGCCAGGCTGAATGGGTGTCGTAGAGCTGCCGTAACAAACTAACTCAAGCTGGGGTCTTCACACAAGAGCAATCCAGCCTCCCATGGCTCTGAAGGCCAAAGGCAACAAGACATCTGCAGGGCCATGCTCTCTCCCAAGGCTTCAGGGAAGATGCTTTTTTTTTTTTGCTTTTTCCAGTTCGTGGTGGATCTTTGCAATCCTGGGCCTCCCTTGGCTTCACTGGTCCAATCTACCTCCATCTTCACATGGCCTTCTCCTCCTCACGTCTCTGCGTTCTCTCCTCGTCTTACAAGGACATGAGTCACTGCATTAGGGCCTACTCGAATCCAGCATGGTCTCTCAGCTTGATCCTATCTACCTCACTTCTGTAAAGACCCTATTTCCAATTGAGATTACATTTCTGAGGTTCCAGGTAGACATGCATTTTGGGGACCTACTATTAAACCCTCTACAGACCCTTCCCACTCTAATTCACAATAAATCCAAATTCAGGCCACAAAGGGCTGCTGCTCTCTCTCTCTCTGGTGGGCAACATGGGCTGGGGAGGCCTGACCTCAGACAGCCACAGAGCTGGCACTCACCCGTGTGACAGATCATGGGGTCATTGGATCCTCATTAAAAACTTCCACTGAGCCCTGCAACAGGGCTTACCTTAGGATCCTGCTATGTCACTGACATTTTTATTTTTTTATTTTTTGGTACCAGGGATTGAGCCAGGTCCTTGAGCTTGCAAGGCAGGCCACCGAACCACTGAGCTAAATCCCCTTCACTGACATTTTAAAAAGCAAACATTTATTTAGACTTTCGCAGAAGAGCAGAAGGTAGTGATTCATAATGCTCCTGGATCACGAGGGCTGCCTGCAAACCTGGAAACTTAGAAGGCTGTGGGATCCTGCATGCTACACTCATTTCTGTGGGAAGCCATGGGGAAGGCATTAACAGAAGTCACATTTATGGCAGCTTATCACTGTACACTAAGCAATAGACACACATCAGCACGCTTGCTCCTCACAGAAGCCCACCAAGGCAGAGCCTGTCATTACTTCCTCTTCACAGATGAGCAAGTGGCAGTAAATCCATGGCCCAAGGTCCCACAGGTAATTAGTGGTACACTCATCATTCACCCGCCTCTCCTGTTGCCTTCAGTTCTGTCTTTGTATGTTTATAAACTCTCTCTTCTCCTTCCCTCATTTAAAAAACAAAAATAGGGCTGGGGATTCAGCTCGGTGAGGTTTTGCCACCTGCCTTGCAAGGTCCCAAGTTTGATTCCCAGTACCAAAAACTAAAAATTAAATTAAAAATTTTTAAAAATCACCTTTCAGGGGCCAGGGATTTAGCTCAGTGGTTCGGTGGCCTGCCTTGCAAGCGCAAGGACCAGAGTTCAATCCCTGGTACAAAAAAAAAAAAAAAAAAAATCACCTTTCATCACCGCTTTTGTGGTACAGTGGACCGTTGAGTTACAACTGCTCTGACATATAAACAACTTGGGTTACGATGAGAATTTTATTTTTTGGTACTGGAGATCGAACGTAGGACCTTGTGCTTATGAGGCAGGCATGGTGGCACTGAGCTAAATCCCCAGCCCACAACCAGAATTTGTTTTAAGAACATTGTCTTGAGTTACAATGGAAATGCCAGTCACTTGTGCTTCCAGATGGTCTCAGATATAAATTTAACCCTTGAAGAGTTCTGGAAGGAACATTACAACATCCTTTCCTGTGTGGGGTTGAGAAATCCTGGGCCATTGTCTCTCCAAGGACACTGTATACAGGAGAGACCTTGAAGGCTGTGCAGAGGAGCCTGAGCCTTCCGCTGACCAATTTGAGCTCACGAGAATGAACTGAGCTCGAAAGTTAAGGGTCTACTGTACTGGGTATTGAACCCAAGGGCCTTCGCATCAAACTCAGCCCCTTTTTTTAATCTGACAGGGTCTTGCCAAGCTCCCATTTTCTTTTCACAGCCCCCGTCTTTCACACCTTCACAACCTTCTTTACCCTTTATACCCTGGCTATTTCCATTTCTGGTCTCTATCTTCCTCCTGAATCTACTTTAATCTGGCTTTGTAACCAGATTTCATCATATTCCAACCTAAGCTGTTCCTGAGGGCTACTTATCTCCAGGCAGAATTCCAGGAATTCTCCTGGAAAGGACATTTGACATTCCCCTCAGAGTATTAATTTAGAGGCAAATCAGATCAGTCTTTTCTCTCTCCAGAGTGACCCAACCCTCAAAGGATCTCCTTGGCCCACTCTAATGGGGCATTATGGTATTTCCTGCAAAACTTTGCTAGGGTAAAAAGATGTTTTGAAAGGATTGCTAAAGTTCTTTAGCTTTTAATGTTCAAGTTCAAAAAATAAGCAATTTACTCAAGGGTTTTCAGGGTCCTTTTATATTCTTGAGGGAGTTGTGGTGGCAAGGGCTGGACAACAGCCTTTAGCAATGCACCTGTGAGATGTCTTCTCCAAAATGGCTCATTTAAAAATCAAGACACTGAATGGATTTCCTTCACTGGGAGGGAGATCTTTAAAATGCTCCAGTTTTCTACCCAGAAGTTTGCACAGCTATTGGATTTCCTCACGTGATGACGAGCTGAAACTAAGGGTAGAAAATGAGCACTGCTGGGTGAAGAGTGCCTCTCCCACGTCCCACCACTCTGCTCTCCATCTCACACTTACATTTTAAGAGCGGTGACAGGTGGGGTAGCAGGGGCTGTGTGCACAAAATGAAAGGTGACACAACTGGATTGGTTTATAATCCCTTCCCCCAAAAAGACCGACAGAAAACCACTCACTTGGATAACTCAGATTTGATGCTTGCTTGTAAAGTTTATTGACAACTGTTTGGTCCCAACACACAAAACAGCACTTGAACCACAAAAGAAGTGTTTAAACAAAGTAGACAGTTAAGAAAAACATCTCTTCCCCCAAGCCCAATCCAAAACAAACAGTGCAAGATGGGAAAGGGGGTTTTGGTGATAACTTTTGTCTTTTTTAAAACAGATAAATCTCAGCCAGTACATCTTTCCATCCAGAAATAAAGCACTTTCTCACATTAATGTACATATATCATTGTGTCATTTAATTAAGCCTCTGGATAAAAAAATAGATAGGAATTGGACTGGCCACTGTGGGCAACACCATGAACACAACATGCTTCTGCTGCATTTTCACATTTTTCAACAGCAACTGTCAGTCACACGTGTCCCAGGCTAACTGGCAGCTCCAGTAAATGGTATGAACACTCTCATGATAGTGCAGGACACCTTTTTCTGATGCCCAAAGAACCTGTTCTTTGAGACTGTTCCAAGTGACTTGTAATGATGCCTCATCCGTTTTTTAAAGTCCACAATTTTTTACATGCTACCAAAACTGAAGTCCAAGCATGCAAACTCGGCCTTATGAAGTCTCAGTATAAGGCAACTGATGTTCTGAACACCAACTTTATCATGTTGTTTAAAAGCATCTTTTAAAAAAATTGTACATTTGCATTTTACTTCCTGTAACACTATATCTGTAGTGGAAATGCCTGCAGAAGGAATTGCAAAGTGCCATAATACTTCAGAAGGGTTTTCCAGGGTTGTTCTATCTTGATTGGGGCATATACTGAGAACTGGGAATCACTGGCTTCATTTAAAAGGTTTGGGGAACAAAAACCTAACTCATAAAAATCTTTCTGTAGCCTTTTTTTGGTGGCATTTTATCAAAATGCTGGCTACAAATCAGAGCCCATTTTTTTTGGCTTTCTAGAAATTACAAAACATAAACATGTCCCCAAAAGAAACCATCTAACTAGTGGAAGACCTTACGCCAACAGGTTTTTCTGCTCTATGAATGAATCCGCCTTTTTTGCCCAACAAATACAATCCATTGTAAATGTCAGGTTTCTCCAGCAAGGGTGAGAGGCCACCCATGGGCAGACACCTCAGGCACCCAGAGAGGAAGGACATTCCACAGGGCAGTGCCCCTAAAGGCTGGCTTTTCCCAAATGCCAACATCAGACCACACACACACACATACACACACACACTCACTCGCACTTCCAACAGCAAGTAGCAGCAAGAGTAAAACACAGATGCTATTAAGACACTGAGCTGGCACACGCGAGCGCACACACACACACACACACACACACAAATACACTCCACACAAAAAGCTTCCCAGCTACGGAAATCTGCTTTAAAATTACAAAAACAAGGTTAAGTTGATCAACCTTGGCCTTCACATGTATAGATAGAATTCTTGTCTCTTCCTAGTGGAAATAGTATTGATTCTGCTTCTGTTAAATTATTTCATCACTCAGCTCTGATTTATAATTTATGCATTTGATGCATATTTTAGAAAATCAGACTCTTTCCAATACTGCCTCTTGACACACAGTGATGTGTGCTGTAAATCAAACGCTGACTCTAAATTCATGACATCAAGACCATCTCCTTTTCCTTAACCTAACCCATATCAAACTGGAACAGTGTAGAAGGGAAGCGTAAAACATCAACTTTCTAGAAAGCTCCAAAATGGAACCCAA